CTGGTGCTGATCTTATCCAAATCCTTCGGCGTGACACCTTCCTGCAGCAGGCGGATAATCTCCGACATTGAGGGCGCCAAGCACCGGGTAGTGTAAAATCCTGGCCCATCTTTTACCACGATGACAACCTTTTTCTGGCGCAGTCCAAGGTCTACGGCAGCAGCTGTGGCCTCCTTGCTCGTCTTATCGGTGGTGATAATCTCCAGCAGTGGCATCTTATCCACTGGACTGAAGTAGTGCATGCCAATGACGTTCTCGGGTCGCTTGCTGGCAGAGGCAATCTGAGAAATGGGCAGTGCAGAGGTGTTCGACGCAAAGATGCAGTCATCTCGGGTGACCGCCTCCACTTCGGCGAGCACCTTGTGCTTCACCTTGATGTCCTCAAAGACGGCTTCCACGACAAGGTCGCAGTTCTTAAACTGATCGTAGTTCAGCGTGGGCAGGAGGTTCGCCGAAATTTGGTTCTTCTCGAGAAGACCGATCTGCTTCTTCTTCAACTTGCTCTCCAGTCCCTTGAAGACCTGCTCCTGTCCGCGAACCAGTCCAGTTTGGGTGGTGTCCTTCAGCAGCGTTTTAATGCCCTTGTCAATGGTCACCTGTGCAATTCCGGCACCCATCAAACCAGCACCCAGCACAGCAATCGTCTCCGTCTTCTTTTTGGGCGCACCAAAGTGGTTCTTCTTACAGTGGGTCTGTCCGTGGAACAGGCCGATCAGTGCCTTTGACTCGGTTGTCTGTGTCAGCTCGCCAAAAGCACGAGCCTCATGGGCAAAGCCTTCGGCACGAGACTTGGACAGTGCCGAGTCGACCACTTCGATGATTTTAAGCGGAGCCGGGTAGTTGCCTTTCGCAAACTTGTTCACAGTTTCGCGTGCCTTGCCGAGCACTTTGTCTCGCACAAACTGGTAGCCAAGTGCCTTGCGCAGAAGAGCTAGAAGGGAAAAGAGTTAAAGATTTTAGAAAGCTCTACTTTGACCTATTTACTTACTTTCAGAGAGTGGTCGCTTTCGGTTAATCTTCAGCTCCTTCTTTGCCAGTTTCAACGCCGTATCAATAGCCACCTCTTCAAGGTACTCAAGCGTTCGCGCCTCGGGAAAATCAAGTCCGGGTCCGAGTGGTTCAACGATAGCGTCAACGAGGCCCATCTTCTTTGCCTTTGCCGGACGAATGTTCTTGCCCATGAGCATCATCTGCAGAGCATCAGGCACATTGATCAGGTGAGTCAATCGCTGAGTGCCACCGCCTCCGGGCAGAAGGCCCAGCATCACTTCCGGAACAGCAAGTGTGGTCTGGTGCGATAAAACAGAGAGTTTATAAACTAATTAATAGTGGTCAGTCAACGCTACCTTCTTATCGTTGACCGCAATTCGGTAGTGTGCCGCCAGTGCCAACTCGAGACCACCTCCCAGAGCGGAGCCCTTGATGGCGGCAACTATAGGAATGGGACTGTTCTCCAGTTCGTCAAAGAACCGGTGGCCGTTCCTCGCCAGTGATTCCGCCTCGGCGGCAGATTTGCACCGTTCGAGCATGTTGATATCGGCGCCGGCGACAAAGCAGTCAGACTTTCCACTGATAAGAACAATGCCCTTGATAGGAGCGGTTCGCAGTTCGCCAAAGACGCGATCGGCATCTCGCATGAAGGACTCCGACAGGGAGTTGACCTTAGAGTTGGGATCGTTGAATTTGACCACGGCGATGTCATTCTTGATCTCGTAGGTGATGGTCGCAGCGTCTGTGCAGGGCGAAAGTATAAAGTCTGTTACTGTACCGAAAAAAGCACTGATAATCTGTTGATAAGAGCAAAGAAGTCATCAAAACAATCTGTCCAATGTACTCGTTATGGTAACATCTAAAAATACGACGACGCATGTCTACACCCGTTTTGTAGTGATGATGTGCTTTCACAAAAACAAGCATCAGCACCAGGCGATGTCGATGTACTCGAGCAGGGCAGCAGCAGCAGAGGACGGACTGACGACAGTGCTGAGAGTGCGTTTACTGTACACGGGACATCACCACCACAACCACCACTGTACAGTATCGTACAGGTGTACCCGAATGTGACACACAAAAGTAGAGTAATAACTAATAGAGGAGACGGTATTTTCAATGTCTGCTGAAAAACAAACCTTTGCCCGTAGAAAGGTAGCGTTGACTAAGTTGAAGGTGAGCGAACCGATTCGAGGAAGCGGCAGATGAAAGGACAGGCGTGAATTTAGACGCCGTCGAAGCTAGGTGAAAGCCACGGCTACTGGCGTGAATCAGACGATTGATCAGCATGATGAGGATGATTATTACGAAACAATTGTCGTGGGGTATCTGCGTTGAGAGAGGTATAAACAATCNCGCTGCTGAAAAACAAACCTTTGCCCGTAGAAAGGTAGCGTTGGCTAAGTTGAAGGTGAGCGAACCGATTCGAGGAAGCGGCAGATGAAAGGACCGGCGTAAATTTAGACGCCGTCGAAGCTAGGTGAAAGCCACGGCTACTGGCGTGAATCAGACGATTGATCAGCATGATGAGGATGATTATTACGAAACAATTGTCGTGGGGTATCTGCGTTGAGAGAGGTATAAACAATCGGTTAGAAAATGGTGTGGTGATGATCTTGTTTAGGAGAAGTGTTTAGTGAGAGTGCAAAATGAGAATCAAATTGGTGCTGTTGACATCCAACCAACTCAACGTTGTCATCACGCGGTGCTGACCTTTCTTTTTACTAACTAAATTGAGATCACCTGAAATGGTAAATGTCAGAGCTAAAGGTGGAGCAAGCTAAACAACAGGCAACAGTAGTCGGTGGGAACAGAGAATCATCAAAAGCACAATCACTTTGAAGCAAATAATTATTACCTAAATTGGTGATTCTCACTCTCGTCTCTTCTCTGGTGTGGACG